AAGAGAGAAGAGGATATTGCTCTTTCTTGAGAGATTGTGGCCGCAGAGCAGGGAAAACGCAGTCAGTAAAGCTTTAGCCAGGGACGTATTTTCGCAGAAAGTGCGGGTGCCGTTGAGCTGGGGTTAACGGCTAAGCACACTTTCGAATGCACACGGAGCCGACACAGTCTAAGTCATTGACCGCTTCTTCTCAAATTCGGGGAGGGCTTAGCTGCCAACCGGGCAGGAAATGACATACATGACCAAAAGCTTCGAGGGTCAGTAGCTCTGTAAAGAGTGTCAAACACAACTTTATCTGATGGAGTGTAAAGCGAGCTGCTTTATGTTCGACAAACTAAACATCTATTTGAGTCATCGTGAAAAGCTATGCTCTGCTTATGTTGCCCTCACATTTTTCGGACCATGCGCGGGGACATCCTTCCCCACTCACAAGAACTACTCATTTAAGCACTACAAATTCTATGCACACTGCTGCGTGGTTTAAAACTGTGGGTAATGGTGCGCATCTAAGCTTTTTTTTTTTTATCCGGAGAAACTGTCAGTTAATTCGAACGGAAAGCCAGTTTGAAAAAAGGTCTCACGTTCCACCCAAATTAGCCTATTCTCTACCCACGCCTCTAGCCGCTAAGCCGGAGCCCCTCTTGCGCGAGCAGCAATAAGTGCTGTGCTACACTGTACCGCGTATGGTTGACTGACTAAAGTCGGCTCCAAAAGTGTTTTAATTGTCCCTAATTTCCCCACGCCAGGTACAAATGGGAAATTTGGAATGCATATCTATCCCGGCAAAATTCAGGCACGTCTGGCAAAGCTAAATGCTGGATTAGCGACACTTTTGACGATCGAAAATACCCAACAACTGTAAGCTAAGCCCGAACTAAAAGTGAGCACTACACGTTCGTTTATTGATTTAAGCTCACTGTTTTAAGCCAAATGTTTATATTGGTATACGTTTTGCTATATTTCAGTGCTCGGATGACTCCATATGCTTTAAACCTATTTCGACACAGCACTGAGACGTAAATTTTGTCGAATTTTCTAGCATGTCTTATCCGATTGCTGAACTCTTACTCCAGGAAGAGCCCTAACGTCTCATAGAGAGGCATCATCTCCGCGTTCAAACATTACCTGCCGCAGAGAAAGCAGACCATTTGTCGCACAGTGGCGACATCTGCGCTGATCCAGGTCGATCCTTGGAATGTGACCTGGTACGTCTCGAGGACCGTTGAGTTTGGGTGTGTTTGGAGTTGGCACGCACCACGTGAAGCAGCACAGAGCTGTGCCAACGCCAACTGGAATCGTGTATGATCTGGTGGAAGAGACATCTAGTGTCAGAAAACCTAAGCTTAGTTTGTTTGAGCTCTCTCAACGTGACGGCCCAGAACGGGGCCCAGAAATGAGCCGAGCTATGTAGAATGAGATGGAGTAGGGAAACACTTAACAGTGCGGTGAAAATTACCTCGCGTTTGAAAGAAACATAACAACAGTTGATAAAGCGGAGCAAATGCAAACTCCTCAGGCGTACAGTCATCGTAACACATTACTACGGGTGCAGAAACCAGGGAGCAAGAGGTGGTTGAGCCCACAGGCTTTCTGAAAATATGACGTTGGTGTGGGTGTGGGTGTGGGTGTGGTGTGGGGTGTGGGTGTGGGTGTGTGGGGGCGTGTAGTTGTGGGTGGGTGGGTGGGTGTTATAGGAACACGCGCAATTTGCTGATAGGATCTAGACAGAAGCACCTTGTCTTTGAGTAGGATTTCCGTTATCCCACTACGCATAACACAAACCTCCGCTCTTGTGAAC